CGGATATTTCGGTGGCCTAGCACCTTCTTCAGCGACCTGAAATACTACAGTTAGCCACTTCCAACCTAATCGTGAACCTTGCCTTCACTGTGAAAAAGAGTGAAGGCAAGGTTAACGACTAGGTTGGAAGTGGCTGACTGTGGTATTTCAGATCGCTGAAGAAGGTGCTAGGCACCGAAATATCCGAAGAAGGAGTATAAACAATAAAAATTTTTTTTGCGAAAACTTTTGGATTCTTTTGAATCTTTTGAGTCTTTTGCAATAAAAATTTTGGCGCCTCTTTTATATGTTTAAAATTCAGAAAGCGAAGTTATGGAAAAGCTAAAATTTTGAGCATAAAGACTGAAACTACGCCCTTACCAGGGAAGTCCGCCAACTTACCATGGAACTTTGAATGGAGACCTGGGTAGATCGATAGAGTCTATAAGGTTATTTACAAATATAGATAGCAAAACTGCAACCTGCATTTCACAAGCAACTTATGAGCAGGTAAAGTTTGTAATGGTGCAGTAGGGTGGAGGCTTGGTGGTGAGCTGTGAAGCATAAGCGAGGAATCGCATACGTCGAATCGAGTCGTGGTGGTTCAGTGGTAAGGTTCGACGTTCGACGATTCGAATTCCCTGGTTAGGCTTCGTTCAGGCATCGCGATGACGCGTGCCATCGCAGAGGCCTCCAGTGCTATGGACAGGAATGCAACCATAGACAGGTATCGATCGGCACTGGCCACTAGTGTTATGAAAGACTACAGCAATACTATAGACTATGACTGTAGCAGCTTATGAAAGATCACTTAATTACGCTCTCTGGAGCTCTACTCTTCATACTGTTCCAAAACACTAGCGAGCAGCGCTGATCGATACTCGTATAGCGTTCGTGTCTATAGCGCTGCAAGGCTACTAAAATGGTAGAACGTCATCGGAAGGTCTGGACACTGCCTCACGTAATTGAGTAGGGGGATACAGCGCTGTGACTCTGGTCGGCTGTGCTTATAGACCTGAGCCTTAGAGTAAGGGGACATACCACGATAAAAGGCAGAGAAGAACGGCCTAGGGCTTCGTACATTACGATAGGAGAATAGGAGAGTTGGCGATTTGTCGTTTCCAGGAATGCGCGCTAGGGGAATGTGTGGATATCGATCAGCTAGCGATTTGAAAGTGAAGAAGAAACGGAGAATTGACATTACTGTAGATCGCACTAGCGACACGGATCGGTCGGTACCGGTTCACTCCGTTGGCGCGCAATCCGCCAAACTACCATTCTTTTGTAATCCCTCGTCGCAAGATGTGTGCGGAGGCTCAGACGCATAGAAAAATAAGTAGCAAATGGCATACAAAGCGCCGGTCAAAAGCTTCCCAGGTTCATGAAGTTTCGCCCGGCGTCTTGTATGCCATTTGCCGTTCCTGTGAGAGCAGACGATATCGTTGCAGGTTTTTGAACGCATCGGCGCGCCGCCTTCACACGGTGAAGACTCATGGTGTGTTGTCTTGTGAGGGTGATAAAAGAATCTACGAGAGAATCAGCGATGGACTCGGTATGTTTGATATGACAAGTTTTTGTTTTACTACTGTTCGAAGGCCTGTGCTGGAAAAGTCTACATTACATGAATTTCGACTTATAATCCCCTATCCAAATTGTTTTATGTGAAAGGGTAGCCCTCTCTACCTCTGTAACCTGAAAATAAGGTGTGATTCCTTCCAATGTTTGGAGGAAACTGGTTCATGGCTTGCTTACTCGGGAAAAGAATGGGAAAGGAAAGCAGCGATGAAGTGTTATAAGCATATGAACTTGGGAGCGATACGAGAATTTGGAGACAGTTTGTACTCATCGACACGGACGCCGATTCTTGCAGTGTGTAGGGAGATCGGTTCTGCAGCGTGCCACTTTTTGCAGTTAAAAGTGAGGAGTATCGATACCCAGGTGCCGTCTCATAGTTGGCCCGCGCTACCGCTCCACCATCCCGCCTAATCATAGCGAAACGCAATACTGTCCTGCGCCCTTTCACTTTTGCAGGTTCTCTACCACTAAGTACATGCTTTGCGGAGGGATCTTTTATTGACGCAAGAGCTGCACCTTGAGGATAGCACTGCGGAGACGACACTCGGATACAACTACACACCAGCTCGTTCCCGTGCTTTGTTGAACAGAGAAAGGGACATGCTACTGCAGTTGCCGGCCCTTTCGTCTTGTATATGGCAAGAACCGTCCTCGGAGGAGTGTGCAATTGCCTTAGATTCAGGATCTCAGAGCTACTTATGGGTTCCAGAAACGAGTCAGTGTTTTTGAATGCATATTTAAGAGTGTGAATATAGTGTGAGTTCCGCGGAGGGGGATCCAGAACCTAGACGAGCCATTGTTAGGTGCCGGTAAGCCATATAGTAACTATAATCAGGATCTATGTCCATAGGTGTTCTTCAAGTGATGGAAAGAGAAAACAGATTGTTCTTGAGACTAATCCTTTTCTATGGCTACTTTTCCGCAAAAGAAAAACGAGCAATAGAGGTATTTATGGTTGGTTAAGAATGAGAGAATGAGCCCATGGACCTCGCGTAATACATGGGTTCTCTATAAAATGTCACCCTATCACCCTAATACAGTCGTGATCCCTCAGACTGGCCATCCGTAATTGCGTACTTCACTGGGACGCGACGGCGGCTGCAGTAGGAGTGGCGATCGATGCTGCATGATCAGCTGATTTCAGCGATT